GAGATTTGGTGATACCCGGATGCCAAATCTATCTTCGAGAACTAGCTAGCTCCTCTTAACTGATCCAACAATTCATCAATCCTAGGAAGTGGATACTTGTCCTTGATAGTAATGTTGTTGATCCCTCGAGAATCAATACACAACCTCATGCTGCCATCCTTCTTTTTAACAAATAGGACTGGAGCACCCCATGGTGAAGAACTTGGTCGAATGAATCCCTTTTCCAATATATCTTCTAACTGAGTTTTCAACTCCGCCAACTCCTCTTGGGCCATACGATATGGTACCTTTACGATTGGTGCTGCTCCTGGTTCCAGGTTTATCGTAAACGGGTTGTTCCGTGCCAGAGGAAACACCGTTAACGACATAAACACATCTTCAAACACCACTGGAATGTCCTTAATATTCAAATCTTCTTCAATTTCTTCGGTGATGATGTTGATAGCAACTAAGTAGGCCTTTCCTTTTCTTAATTGCTGTTCAATTCTTACCGCGGATATTATGGATATGACCAAACTTGGACTTTTCCCATAATATGCGACTATCGGCTAAACTACACCAAACGTGATCCTTCCATGACCACAATCCAAGTTCACTTGGTAACTAGATAGCCAGTCCATTCCTAAGATCACCTCAAACCGTTCTAAGGATACTACTATAAGATTAGCCCTAAAGACTCTCTCCTGGATCTCTATAGGTATTCCTAACACCACACTCGAAGCTTCCAGGGTTTGATTCCCGGGGGTTAACACGGAAATACTCACCTCCCTCACAAGGTACTCATCTCCAAACTTAGAAGCCACCTCAGGAGTCACAAAACTATGTCTCGCTCCTGAATCAAACAAAACGTGTGTGGGACTACCACCAACATGTAATGTTCCTACCATAACACATCCAATACCATACGTATTCTCAATACGTAGAATTAACAACCAATGACTAAACTACCAATGACTAAACTACCAATCATGCAATAAATTAATCACGCAATAGAGGATTAGCGCCCAAACAAACCTGTAATGGGACCCTTAGCTGGTCCTGTCGGGTTCGAGGTTTCTGCCTCCAAGGCATAAATTCTACCCGAAATTGCTTGACGTTTGGCCGTGGGTTCTTTCGCTGGTCGAGTCGGTGTTCCTTGCTTCCCAATCCCCTTGACTGATTCAGTTGTCCTAGATGGACATGAAGTAGCATAATGTCCTGACTCACCCTAAGTGAAGCATCTAATGTAACTTGGAGCTTCTGGCCTTATACTACGGTTGGGACAGTTTCGAGCAATGTTTCCTGTTTCATTACATATGAAACATCTTTTGCTAAATCCCCATGACCTCTGATCTCCTCTATTCTGGGCTCCGCCTCGATTTAATGACTGGCCGTGATTCATGGGTTGAGTCACCTTCGCTGTTGGATATGTATTGGAACCAGCGTTCCCTTTCTTCTTGTTCCAAGCAGCTTTCTTCTTGGTTAAGTACGCCTCCACATTGACTGCCCTTTTGATAGCTTCATGCGGGCTAGTAAAGGTTACCTACTGTAATCGGCTTCCTATCTCTGGTTTTAGTCCTTGCATGAACTGTCTTACCAAGGCGTCGTCATCTACATTACAAAAAGTAGCGTACCTTTGTAACCTCATAAACTACGCCTCATATTTTCTCACACTCTTCTCTCCTTGCTCTAATCTCAGAAACTCCTGGGTTATGCGATCTCGTACTTCGGGTGGAAAATATTTCCATTCAAACTCCTGTTTAAACCTCTCCACTAAGTCTAAACTATGCCCGGTCTGACGATCTACACTGATCCACCAACTTGAAGCTTCATTCTCCAAAGAGTATACACCAACATCCTTCATGAACTCCGTTGGGCATCTAGTTGCTGCAAAGTTTGCTTCCACGCACTGTAACCATGCATCCGCCTTGTATGGATCTGGTTCTCCATTGTATCGGTAAGTCCCTAAAGTCTTCATTGTCGTTACGATTCTTAAGAAGTCTGGTGGTGGTCTTTCATTTGCATCTGCGCTGGGAATGGCTCGCTGCAGCACTTGAAATAGAAGATTGTGAACCATTGACAAAGTTGGATCAGCCTGTTGCTGTCCTTCATGACCGGGTGGTTCCAAAGTATTGCCATTTCTGGCATGTTAGTCCATAGGTCCTGGCCGTCCAACCAATAGAATCTGAGATTCTGAGGAGTCTGAACTTGACCCATGAGAGAAGGTGGAGGACGAATATGGGCTCAAGTGGTTATCCCGTATCCCGGGACACTCATTATTTCTGTAGTCGGAATCACTAGCTATTTCAGGCGCATGTCCCATTCTGGACATATCTGATGATTCTCTATCATCCTTACGCTCTGACGTGCCCCGACCCAAAGATGAACCCCTCAGCCTCTTGCCACACAACCTTCGATTCAACATCTCCTTATCCACAAAAACAAAATAGGAGTCCATGCCCATCTCGTTATCTATAAAGACGAAATTGGAGTCCATGCTCATCTCTTCATCTTTAAAGACGAAATACTCTCTGGCCAGTTTTCTACTTATCTCCTCACCTTTAAGGACGGAATTCCTTGACCAAATTCGTCCTCATCCATGAATCCATCAAGACAAAATAGTTTTTGATAAGATTCGTGCATATCCCTTAATATGTAAAGACGAAATAGCTCCTTACCAGATTCAAGCTTATCCATGAATCTATAAACAGGAAATAGTGCTTTAATCAGATAAATGCTTATCCGTGTATCAATAGGGACGGAATAGCTAAGGGATGACTGACCCACTTATGTTTGCAACAGGCCTTCATACGACACCTCGTGCTTACTTGGTGTGCGGTTGGCTGCGATGTTAGTCATGCGACTTCACGCCCTGACTGCTCTAGTTTTATAACCTCGTGTGTTTTGCGTGACTGAAATGATTGTCCGCGTCTATATCTGGATTCATTCTTCTATGACCAATATACTTACTTTGGCCAATCTCGTCGATCCAAGCTCCTTTTGAGTAGATTCTTCACTACCGAATTTTAGACCAATATTTGGCCAAAATTTTTCTCTCGGCCGTTCCTTGACCAGCCGTCTTCATCGTTCATCAGGGTTATTACAAGGAGAAACGGGGGGGGGGGGGGGGGGGGTTGTGTTAAAGGGACAATGAGAGTTGACGGGTCCTTGATGCGGTCGTTCCAAAGTATCAGCAACATCTGAATAAGTTCACTTGTTTTTTTCAAAAGTAATGCGATTGTTCAGGGGGCCCTTTAGCAGTATGGTCAGGCTAATTTAATACATTATGTCTTTGAGGAATTTTCAGCAGAGGGCATATACATTCCCGAGGAGAAGATAAACAATCTGAAGGAGGACTTGGCAAGTAGGAAGGCTGACACTATGTCACTGGAGGTTGATTTGGATATGACCCTGCTTGAAGATTTGGTCGCGCGCTGGAAGCAACCTGTGTCGGTTGGGTATGTAGGGGATCAATATGGGAGTATATTGACTTCCGTTGCTCCTGATGTCGTGTCTTCTCTCGGGGGAATGATGATCCTCATCCTTAGTTATTTCGCGATGATTTCTGTCGTCTTCTCCTTCTTTTTTTTTATTTGCTTAGACTGATATTTTAGGCATGTAATAACGCAGATTTTTTGCTTGTACAATGGGGACAGCCCTTATGTTTTGGGGAAAAACGCATAAAAACTCTGAATTTGGCACGCACTAACAGTTTAAACCTCAGAAGTATTTTAATAACACTTTAAATCGTCAATTAAATTTTATTATCAGAAAAAACCTTCGAAGTGACTTCCTATTTCACGACCCAGAATTTTGAACGGAATACTAAACTCCGTTAACGATGATTTAACCAACGTTTAAAAAGTTATTACCACCGTTTAGTAATAAAAAATAATAATTAATTGATTTGGGATCCCATCACGATTTAGGGTTCTTCTTCAAAACCAGAAAAAAATTAAGAGCAAAGAAACTGAGAACAAATCGACAACAAAGAACACATCGACTAGAAGGAGAAAGGTAAGTCGAATTTGGAGTTTCAATTTTTGAATTTCTGTTTGAAACGATATTTTGACTGAAACAATTATAGCGATATTTTAAACAATTTTTGAATTTCAGTGAGTGCTATTTTTGAATTTTGAGTTTCAATTTTTGATTTGTAGCTGGATTTGTGTATATTTATAGCACTTATCTTGTGCAGATGGCTCAGCGTGCAAGTTCTTCAACCATTGACTACAAGAATGATAATGGCGTAGTGTGTAACTGCAAGCTCTCAGCTAAAATTGTGAAAGCTTGGACTAATAACAATCCTGGGAGAAGGTTTTATAGCTGCATTAACTGGAAGAGCATTATTGCTGAGTCTTGCAACCTTTTTCATTGGTATGATGTGGAGAAGCCACACGGTTGGCAATACCTAGCATTATTGGAGGCTAAAGATGTTATGCGTGATCCAAGAGAAGAGATTAGTAAGCTAAAGGAAATGGTAAGACCTTTAACCAGTGAGAGTGAAAGTATGGTGGAAAATCCAGCTGCAACAGAAGATAAGTTGAAGCAGACCTGTGAGCAATGTGAAACGATCAAGCGAAAGGTGTTAATTCTTACCATGAGGAGTAGGTTTTCCGCAACGTTCTCATATCTTCATCAGTTGGTTTTACCGTGGCACTTGGAGTCATGTTGTCAATGTGGAAGTATTAGAGGTTTCTTAATCATGTGTCATGTAAGAAATGTTTAATTATTATGGAAATGTTGTTGTTTTGTGTTGTTTAAAGTATCTATATGTATTTGATAATGGTTAAAGATTGAATGTTGAATGCTAAATGTTTTTTAATTATGGTAAAAGAATTCGGGAATGTTGGTGATGGTTAAAGAAACTCCAAAGACATTCTGATGAAATCCTGCAATATGTTCTTACAAAATAATTAAACAAATGGGTCTTAAAAACAAATATATACCACGTTTTGTTACCAAAATAATAGATCAGGTACAATAAGTTCTAACATTAAAGCAGAAAACTACAAAGTGGACTATTGTGGAGGCTTGAATTGATCACCAGTATCCTTAAACACATCAAAAGGACGGTATATGAATGCACTCATTAGCTTAGATGTACCTCTACTAATGTTGCTGGGCTTCGTTATTTTCAGTGCTCTTCCACGTTTTTTCTTTAGTGGAGGGTTTGTGTTGTTGGATGAAACTGATGGTTCAGGCGCACTAGATGCAGCCGGAATTGGTGTACTTGATTCATCTTCTTGTAAAAGTTGAGAGTTGCTTATATCTAAAGATGTCTTCTTCTTTTTTCTTTGTTGTGTAGGGCGTTTTGGCATAACCTGAAAAGAAATCAGATTCAGAAACTAAGCTAATGAATCTATTCAAAGAAAAATAAATTAGCTCCTGATAATTTTCTAGATTCAGAAACTTACCTCATCCAGATTTTTACAAGTGCGGCCTTGTATGTTTTTTGGTCCCTCCATAAAAACAACCTCATTCTTACATCCACTCTTAATATGACCAGCTTGACCGCAATTACTACAATGAAATGTCCTTCCATGTCTAGTTGCTTTGCCTTTGTTCTGCAGATCTTCAAGAGGTTCGTTTCTTGAGTTTCCATGGTTATGGCTCATGTGAAATACTTTGACCATCCATTTGTTCATTGGAACCTCCACTGTACAATATACTCTCCACTTGCAACCGTCTTCACAACAAATCGCAGCTATTCTATTGACCTCTGATTTTGCCATTTTAACATCATATCGCATGTTCAGTGAGTAACGGAGTAGCTAGTCCTTAAACTCAAGGCCACTATTAAACTTTTGAAACAACCAGATGTATGGAGGCTTATCAAAATCACCATGAAACTGTGATTTACCTTTAGATATTTTCTTATTTGCCCAAGCCTCCCACTCCTCATCCGATTCAACTGGTGTGTCTGGATATCCAGCATCCCCTAACTCATATCTTTTATAGTCTTCATCGCTTTCTTCTGCTTCTTTTACTTCCTCGGCCATTTCCTCCTCATCTTGAGACTTTGCTTTCTGTGTTTTTGCACCTTCTTCAAACAAATCGTTAAATCTCTCATCATTACGACCATCTCCTGTGTCGATGACAACATCATCTTCATCATCAACCACATTTTGTTTTTCAATCTCCTATGTGGGAGCTTCATCCTCAGATTGCTCACCTTCATTCTCTTCCCTTGGTCTCTTGTCACCATCATTCTCACTTTCATCAACATCAGCTTCATTTCCATCATCATTATCATCTCTTTCACCAAGATCTTCAGCCTGACTACTCGGCAGAAGATGAATGACATCACGCATATTATTTGAGCATTCATGTTCGATAAAAGCATGAATCTCACCAGACGCTTCTCCAACAATTTGTAGCTCACCCATAGCAGCATTTGTAGTCTCAAAGACATACTTCAAGTTCTTCATATCTTCAACTACATCTTTATAGCAAATCATAGCAATCCGAGTACAAACATGTGAATCTCTAAGGAAGGATTCAAATTTCCCCCATCTAATCTCTGAAGCTTTCCATTGCACACTCTCACAACCCAGTTGACCAATATACTTATAATCACCACCATCTTCTTTCGACATAGATCCTCCATAGTAGATTAGAATTTTAATTAACTTGCTGAAAATTAAAATTCCAAAGTTATAATGGATCCACAATACATATATCACGATTAATAGCTATTAATCTTATGATTCAAGCTCACATTAACGAAAACAAGCACAATTGTGCAAACCCAGAAAATTTCTTCTTTCGTGCTTAAACCCAGAAGTTGAAAGAGAGAACAAAAAACACTTCTGAATGAAATGATTCAATTCGAAACACTATCTTACCTCATTTCGGCATAGAGGCATTCAAATTCACTCTTAATGATCTCAGTTTCTTGCTCTTAATTTTTTTCTAGTTTTAAAGAAGAACCCTAAATCGCGATGGATCCCAAATCGATTAGGGAATTCTTAAGATATAAAATTTGAGTTTTGTTATTTTAAATCAATTAATTATTATTATTTTTTGCTAAACGGTGATAATAATGTTTTAAAAGGAGTTAAATCTCCGTTAAAGGAGTTTACTATTCCATTCAAAATTTTGGGGTTGTGAAATCGGAAGCCACTTCAAAGGTTTTTTCTGATAATAAAATTTAATCGATGGTTTAAAGTGTTATTAAAATACCTATGAAGTTTAAAGTGTTAGTGCGTGCCACTTTCAGGATTTTTTTATGCGTTTTTCTCTTATGTTTTGTTTTCTTTGTATCTTTCTTTTTTCTTTTGACTTTATTGTAAATATGTATCTAGCGTATTTGTTTTCCGAGATTGAAGTCACAACATACGAAATGATCGGTTTATTTGTTCGTTTCAATCTCTTCGTGCGGATCGGAATCTGGCTTTATCGATCCTAGGTGCGAGAGTAGGCTCGGTTAATCCCGTTTAAATTGTGCAGGACTGGGCCTAGCTTACATGCCAATGAGCTAAAAATTTAGCATCAGTGGCGTGGATTATTTCACCACTGCATCCCTGGAAAACGTATTTTTAAAAAAAATTGATCACCTAGCCATGGTGTCAATGTGTTTGGGAAGTCAAACTGCGTTGTTCTCACAACAAGGAATCCAATGATTCCACGATCCCGTCATTCCATTTCTATAAAAACAGTTCCAACAACCCCCATATGAATAAAAATAACTCTAGACACTGGACGACTCGACTGACTTGACTACCTAGATAACACTCGAGACACTGGATGACTCGACTGACTGAACTGACTTGGCTACCTAGACAAGACGCGACAAGACTCGACATAAGGACTTTTTGAGAGTACAATCGAAAAATCCACTGCATATGAGTTGGAAGCGTTTTTCAGCCTTGAAACAGTGATTTACTCGACCAGGACACAATAGCTATAACACTGCCTATGAGTTATAACACAACTTCATTATCTCACAGAACAAGGGTCTATACTGTGTTCATTTTGCCATGGAACATGCCTGGTAATCATGAGTGAACTTGAAGAATATAGCATTTCCTTTATTCCCCTAGAAACGGCCCTAATTCACACTCACAAAGTGATTTGCCGTTAGCTTTGTTTAAAAGAGCATCTTGTTATACTCCATGTATTTCTCAAAACCGTGGACTCAAATCATTAAAAGCAAATGCTTATCCTCTACATATACAGGTTGCACTGGTAATCATCCTAGAAACTGGGCAAAGACATAAGTCTTCCAGTACTCTTATTATATTCAACTTGAATTTGTTTTCCCTTTAAACCTAAATCTTGGGATCTCCAGTCACATAGGTAGGATTACAATTTAGAATCCTTAATTCATAGGCTTTAAACCCATTCCTTTTGATTATTTACTATTTCACCTCATGACATACCTTTTAAAATTGGATCATAGGTTATCATCTAATCGGATATAATTTAATGAGATTACTCCATTTGAGATCAATTATCTAAATAGTCTTATGTCACCTTCTAAAAAGACATGACTAACCATTATACACAAAACACAGTGACAAGCAATAGTCAAATGACTATCATGGTGTGCACATATGTCTGCAATAGTTTTTTTGCCAAATCCACAATATTCCCAAGAATTTTAGACACTCTTAATTTCATTTGCTTTATCTTTAGCTGTGGACTTAGGTTCCATAATTAATTTGTTTCATAGAATTGATTGCTAGAATTCATTGACGATACAACTTTTGTCAGGCACCCCCACACTTGTAGATATTTATACGAATGTATATTACCTTTATAAAGCTCATATGGCAGCATCATGCCAATGACTTTATGTGGTAAACAACGCTTTCCCCTATATTTTCAGAATTATGCACCTTTGCATTCAGAATCTTATTAAAAGTTCAGAATTATTTATTTCTTTTTTTTTGCAACTCCATTAAATTCAAGTGAATTAGGAGCAGTTTTCGACGAATAATGCCATGTTTTCTAAAAAGCACCTTTAATTTCTCATTAAAGTCGCCTCCATTTTCATATATAACTATTTCCATAGTCTCTCAAGTTGGATTTTAATTTCCATCTTGGATGCTTTGAATTTTTTTTTTCAATAGCCACATTCTTGCATTTAGCAAGTATACACATCTATTATGATAGAGTTCAATGGAGGTAGCAGCATTATGCCACTATCCCATTCAATTATTCTCAACCATGTAGACTTCAGAACTACACTACATATGTCAGATTGGTCTGAGATATCTCATTGTCTCTGCATGATTCAAATTTTCTTCGACATTCAATAGCATTGCTATGAAATGTGTCAACCTTTAGACCCATCTTGCCACACTTGTGCCCAACCATTATTGCATGATCTTCACAAATGTGAAACCATATGCTTTGTGATTTGCAGATTTAACTTGCTTTCTGACTATCAAGTCACCAAGGCTCACAACCTTTCGCTTATGACATAAATAATTATTGAAAAAAATTCCAAACTGATAGAAAATTCTCAATATAACATCCCTGGTATGTCAAAGAAATTGACATCTTTTAGACCATTATCTCTGAAATAAGAGTTTTGCGTCTCTTTCTCAATCTCCGAAGCTTGTACTAGCCATTGTAGTATAGCATAGGGTATTATCAAACCAAAAGGGGAGATTAAAGCAGTAAGAATGCAATAGAGGTCCTAATTCAAGCCAAGCAAGAATATTTAGATAACTAACAACCTAAAGGATCAAACAAACTTGAAGCAAACACTAAACCAGAGCAAGCAACAAGTAGAACACTCAAAACTTAAGCAAAAACAGAGCAAATTCGAAATCAACTAAAAACAGAGAAAATACAGGACTTAAGATGGGATAATTGGTATTAGGGGACTCCCTACTCACTCCATGATGCTTACAAACTGAGACAATGCTATTCCTTATGCATAGAATTCAGTTATATGACTAATCCAATCTCTAGGCACTAATCTCTTTACTAATTATCAAGTCAAGAACTAATTTCATTAGTGAAATGATAAACAGCAAGCATTAAGACATTCATTCAATCCTATATTGCCAAATCACTCCCTAGACAGTCAATCTCTTGAGCTAGGATAAGCAATTCTTTTACATTGCAATTCAATCATTTCAACAAACACTTGGTGGGTATAAATTGAGCCTAAAATCCTAATCAACTTAGCTAGGGCTAATCAGGCATTAAACACAACAATTAAGAAAGAGAATGGAAGAATTAGCACTAAGACATCATGGATTAAACGTCAAATTCCCTAAACCTAACTCATCTCAAATCCTGAAATAGACTACTCACTAATCACCATCAAAACCATCAAATCAAAGACGAAAAAGTAGCTGATCATGATTAGGGAAGGAAAGAAGATAAGTACAAACTATTATAGAAATCAAGCCAAGATTCAAACTACAAAATGTGATTTTGAAACAAAAAAAGAAAGAACTGCTGGATTTTGAAACAAAAAAAGAAAGCCTCCTCCCAAAATTTAGGGATTTTAGTATTTATATGAATCCTAAGGAAGGTGGCAAAGGTGTAAATAAGTGGTCTTCGGACTGGGAGAACATCGAGCATACTAGGTCGATGTGGATGCTCGATGTGCTGACATCGAGCTGGTCATGCTCGATGTGAACGCACGATGTGCTTCCTCGGATGTCTGACATCGAGCAGACATGCTCAATGTACATACTCGATGTTGAACTCGAAGTTCCTGCCCTTTTATATCGCACGATGTTGCAGCTCGATGTAGTGTCCTGTGGCTTGACATCGTGCGATGTGGATGCCTGCTGTAAACTCTTTTCCTCTCGGGTCATTTACATCGTGCGATGTTGAACCTGTCAAGCTCGATGTTGGCGAAAATCCCACTTCCTTAGCTCCTCTTGATCCTCTTTGACTGGGGCTACTCCCTGAATCAATCATATGCTTCCTCCTTGTCTTTAAAGGCTCCTTAGGTACCTAAAATCATCCTTTTTGCTAAGCAAATGCAAATGACAACCTAAAAGCAACCTTAAGTTTAAAAACAAAGGGAAATGGGATAAAAGCAAAGGAAAACATGCATATGAAGAGCAAGACATGAACTAAATGCAAGCCTGAATGGTATAAATATTGAAGATATCAACACCCCCACACTTGCCTTTTTCTTGTCCTCAAGCAAAAAAGAACAAATGAGAGAATGAAGTTAAAAGGTGGGAGCTCAAAACTAAAAATGTTAAAGGAAAATCTGATTCAATTCCCAAGTTATAGGTGCTAAGATACATAGAGATTGCTCAACTTTAAAAGCTTTAGCCATACCTGTAACACCCCTGATTCGATCTGTACCCAAGGCCGAACTGCGAATGTCACAAACTCAAGGTTCACTGGATAAGTAAGCCCGTCTTGGAATGAATCCAAACATAAGGCCGTCTTGTACAGTTAGCTCAGACCCCCGCGACCAAGGCCTAAGGCTTTTCAACCCATACCCCAATCTTGAGTTGTGTTAGTCCGGACTAGACTAATATCATTAAGCAAGCCCAAGTTTGTAAAAACGTACTTATTATTAATATCATAGCATTCTCAAAAAATTGTTCTTACAAACTTATATAATGCTGCAGCAGAAGGTAAACCCAAAAGGGCATCTAGTACATAC